CCCCAAAACCCCAAAACCCCAAAACCCCGCTAGTTCTAATTTGGGGAGAGATTTGAATTGAAAAAAAAGTTGATGTATTTTTTTAAGAATGAAAGGGTTAAGTTATATCTACAAAAATATATAAAGGAGCCCTTCATTCAACTATGTAGAGAGGAGGGCGACACTCGCTGTCTGAGTGAAAGCCCATCTACAGTATCCAAAGTTCTGGGATACTTGGAGTATCAATATACAACTTGTACAGATAAGTAAGGTTATTACTTATGTGGAATTTCTAAGTATAAATCAGTAGAATAATCAACTAGCTGATTACACTCTTCATTCACTAGATGTTGGTGAGGCTGTTATCATTATTTCAAACAGCTTCTGAGATTTTCTAGTTTCTTGGACTTTTCTAGTTTCCCTCGAGTTTGAGTTTGGGGGAAATAGGTGTAGAATGTTCTTCAATTATGGAAGCAGCTGATGTTGATGAAACGCTGCTGGTGGTAGTCTTTAATTCTGATCTCTTCTTCTTGTGATAGATGCTTAAATAGCAATTTTTGCAGATACCCTTGGCGTAGAGGGGCCTGTCTTAGTGCTCGCATTTTGTTGCTTTCTTTGTCCTGCCCTTAGCGTGGTAGCAGTTTTAGCACATCCCATTTGCGTAGTAAGGCATATCTTCATGACCGCATTTGGAGATGTGGTGTCTATGTTTTTGCTTTTTTATAGCTTTGGTCTTAGACATGGGATCCTAATCTTTTTCAGCATCTTCAGCAGAGTTTGGAACGTTTTCTCTCTAGTCTTGTTAATGAGGAGGATGAACCTCATATTACTCCATTATAAAAGATAGCTCTTCCTTATCGTAATGGAAAGAGTGATCTTTGGTGGAACAATGCCCTTTATCCTCAATTAAGGGTTCCTCAATTTTCATATTTACAGCTAAGAATTAATCAATATGGTTACTCAGGTGGAACCTATCTTAAAGTTCGGACTCATTATTTAAATAGTTATGTTCAAAGAAAGAGCATGTTTTGCTGAGCAAGTTTCCTTTTTGACTAGTTAGATATAGTTCTGGACTCATACTGTCGTCGCACTCTTACAAAAAGGGATAGACGGAATCACAAGTATGATGGACTTCGTTCATTTTATTCAAAAACCCTCCATCGAGAGCACTTTCTGTTAATTAAAACATTTCGACTTATTTTTTGTCAGAGTCGTCGAACATTTGTGAAATATTCCTGCAGGCACAGGGTGCTTCGTAATCTGATTCATAGGATTGTTGGTAGTAGGAGGATTCATTGGCATAAAAGAAGTCAGCATTCATTGGAGAGTCCATGTAGTGGAAAACTAGAGATTAAAAGATTATAATTTTCAAGTATAAAATCCTATTTAGTAAATAAGTCAACTATCACTCACTGAGAAGATTCGATCAGTAAATTAATAAATTTACATAAAATCTATTCAAATTTCACTTCTTTTATACAAATCGATATTTCACTGTCATGGGGTTTTGGGGTTTTGGGGTTTTGGGG